CATTGGTGATGGTGCAAATGACGCCCAATGATTCAGGCAGCTCATGTTGGCAGAATCATAGACAACATTGAAATTATCTCCATGATCGTCTATTAGTTTACCTACAACCACAGAACCTTCTTCACCAGCACTATCAACAATAGTTTTTTCAGGTTTTTGAAGAGCAGTTTTTATGATATTTACGCCTAATTGTTGATCAAAATTCGTGGGTTTTAAGGACTCTAAACATTTGATAGATTTCAAAAAGGTTACACCACCTCCAGGTACAATTCCTTCCTCAACAGCTGCACGTGTTGTATTCAAAGCATCAACGAATCGATCTTTTTTTTTATTGACTTAAACTTCTGAAGAACCACATACACGAATAACAGCAATCCCACCTGATAATTTCGCAAGTCTTTCTTGTAGTTATATATAGTGATCGGATTCAGATGCTTAAATGGGAATCGGGTGCCACGTTTCCAGCAATAACCATTGGATCAATTGCTTAAGTCATATCTCAGGTCATGACTCAAGCTGTGGCTTCAACATCCATGGAGCAATCGATTATAAGAGCCAAGCCAAGTCATACAAATCGTTAATAGTTCTGATAAGCTAATTACGGTCATAAATTGATAAATGATAAACATTATAATATCGAAAATAGGAGGAGAAATACATTGACCGCAAAAAGGATCCAGTGAAGTGACAGTAAAGCACCACAAACGAGACAACATTTAAGACATTGAAAAATACACCAACAAGTGACGCACCAGTATACGACAATATCGACCCGACAAAGACGAAACATACGACATCCCAACGGCATGACGATAACGCTATAAAAAAAGATTTGTTAGTAAAAAAAAAAAAAAATAAAAAACAATATAGACAAAAAAATCGATACTTAAATAGATGACCCAACGCTAAAAAAAAGATATGTTAGTAACAAAAACAATTATATGAGCAGATCTTGCAGATCCCTTATTGTATATTAGGGATGGCAACCATTCGGGATAATATAAATATGATATAATTAGTTAAAAGGTTATTATAAATATTTATAATTGCATATGTATAATTAAACTTTTTTTAGTTTATTTAAATATATTTAATTTAATTATACATGCATATTGATATATACGTATGTATATATTTATTTAATTATATACATATATATATATCAATACGTATATTAATGGTTTTAAAAAAATAACCAATAAAATAAATATAAAATTATTGCCGTTTTGTTTATATTGAATTAAAAATTCTTTTTGAGTATTACTACGAATCATAAAACTATAATGGATTTTGAAACAATATCGATTTCAAGTAATGAACATTTATCTGATACAACAATTAAAGATGACAGTGTTAATGAATTTCAAGAAATTGGCTTAGACTATAATGATTCTTTTGAGATGTTTGATAATTCTGTGACATACGTTGATGATTTGTCTGAAGATTTTCAATATACTGAAGAAGTTGTTAATAATTTTCAAGATAATTATAGTGAAAGTTCTAGCTCTAGGGTAAAATATTATATATTCATATATATTAGAATTTACTATTAAAATTTAAATTTTTAATAATAAATTTTAAATCTATATAATTATAATTATTTATTAATATAAAATCTTTTAATTTTTATAGCCACCAATTAATTTTGGAAAGCATAATTATTTGGATAATAATTTGCTAAATAATGAACAAGATGATGAAATTTATTTGATGACAGGGCAATTAAGAGTAAATGAAATTATTCATAGTATTTTTCCTATGGAATATCCTCCAACATCAGAGAATGGCATAGCAATTATATATAATATTGAAGCATGGGATAATCTTCTTGTATTTACAAATAATGTATTTATTTTATTTATTATATTTTTAGTTACAGTATTTTTAAATATTAATTTTAATTATTTTTATAGATGCAATATAATCTTGGTAAACCAAGTGGTAGTGGAGATTCTGATATTTACTGTCCATTTCTTGATACTTTGGTCAAAAAACTCATTATACTTGTCAAGGTATCAAAGTATGTAAATATCTAGATTACAAAATTAAAAATAAATCACATTATGAAGTAGATATGGAAAAAGATTTTGAGCAATCAATAGATGAGGATTTTAATCATAAAAGAACCAAAGAAGCTAAAACTTATATGTAAATAAATTTTAATTTTTTTAAAATTTTATTTAAATTATAATTAATTAATTTTAAATTTTTATAGAAAATATTTAGCATTACTTGATCAAAAATGTCCTTATGATAATTATAATTATGATGGACAATTTATAGTTAAAAAAAAGACTAAACTTAATCTAAACTATAAGGATAATTGGTTTGTTGGATGTACAAAATGGCAATTAAAATCTAAAGGATTACATTTTTTTTATTATCTTAATGATGAAATTGATTCTTTATTATTAAATAGATTATTTGAAGATGAAGAGTAAGTATTTTAAATTATTATTTTATTAAATTTTTTAATTAATTATTATATTAATTTAATTTTATTATTTAAGTTTTCATTATCTAATGAAAATAATTTATGCAGTGCTATATTTTCTTCTAATTCAAAAAGAAAAACATGTGGTAAATAAAATTTATTTTAAAATTTTAAAAAATTTAATTAAATATTAAATATATTATTATATTTTTTAGAATTTTTATACAAACAATTAGATGGTTCTATTAATGAAGAAGATATAATTAAAATGAGTTGCAAGTTAAATTTTATAAACTAATACCTTTAGACTTAAAAAAAGTTCCTTATATTATATTAGTTTGTCAAGGTATACATCATCATCCTCCTCCTCCTCTATCACAAATACCTTTAGAGATATTAAACAAATTAAAAACTTTAATTAAAACAGAATCTACTGATATTACAGCAAATAAATTACTTAGTAGTAAGTTTTTTATTATTATATTAATTAATTTTTTAAAATTTTTAATAAAATAATTTTTAATATTTAAATTCAAATAGGTAATCTAATTAAAGCAACTTTTGGAAAAGATTATCTTTCAGAAGTACATAATATGGATAAACTTAGAAGACTAATTGCAAAAATACAAAAATCAAAACATCTATATGGACAAGAATTATTAGGTTTAACCTATAATATTTGGTCAGATAATCAAGAATTACTTGGATATGTTCAGCAATCAGGTAAAATTTTATATTATTTAAATTCATATTAATATAATATTTATTAATATTATTTAATATTAAAATTATTAATTTTATAGCTATATTTGCTAATGGACATATCATGATTATATATATATCTGAAATTCAAGCTCAAGACTGGTTAAAACTTCAATATTTTGAAATAGATTTATCATTCAAAAGAGTACAAGAAAATATTAATGAATTTGAAATTAATTGTTATAATAAAAATTATAAAATTGGTAAAAATTTATTTATAATTTATTATTAATTAAATTTTAATTATTAATATTAATTATTTTTTAGCTCTTACATATGCCAGAGTATTCACTAATATAATGAGTTCTGAAGCATATGAGCAAATATTTGAAGGTTTATTCAATTGGATCTATAAATTGACTAAAAATTATCCAAAATTTTATTATATTCATAATAATGGTTGAAAATGTATACTTGAAGACTTGGACCAAGCACAAGCAAAAAGATTGGGTACTGCTTTACATAAAATAGAAAAATCATTAAGTTGAGAACAACATCTTTGTCATATATTTAAAAGTTGCAGAATTCATTATAATAGGTATATAAAATTTTTATTTTATTTATATATTATTAATAATAAAACTAATTTATTTTTTTAAATTACTAGAAATATTAAAAACAATAAATATTCAAAAGAGCTTAAAGAATTGATGTATGAATTACCAAATGCATCTTCTAATAGAGTTGATGAAATTTTTAGATTATTATTAGCATTAAATAAAAAAATATTAAAGGTATATTATAAATAATTTAAAAAATTAAAATATAATTATTAAAATTAATTTATAATTTATATTTTAATTAGATTGGATTAATTTTTATTCAACTTCATGGGTGAAAGCATCATTAAACTCTGAATTTTCATTTATTGATACTGAAATTTGGAATATAGCACCTGACAATACTAATGTTGCAGAGTTATGTCATGCAAATATTAATAGAGATGGAAAATCATTATCTTTACTTAATGCAATTATTAAGTAATTTATCTATTTTTTTAAAAATAATTTTAAAAATAATATTTAAATATTATTTAAATAATTAATTATTAATTTATATAGAGCAAAATTTTATGATGAAAAGCACTTTACAACTTGTAATATTCAAAAAAATTATGGAATATCAAATACTGAAAAAAACAAAAGTTTAATTACAAGAGAAAAACAATCTATTAAAAGAGCAGGTTTGTATATTTAATAAATTTAATATTATAATCTAATTAATTATTTATAATTTAAATAATTTTTTTTAATAGTTAAAAGAAAAAATAAATCAAAAGAGAAAGGAAAGAAAAAACAAACTACAGCAAATATTATTCAATCTCAAACAAAAACTAAAAAAGTTAAAATTGAAAGTGAATCTACAACAAATTTATCTAATATTACTGAAGCAAATTTAGATGAAAAAGAATGACAATTAGCTATTAAAGAAAGAGAACTTAAACTAGAAAGAGAAAAACTTGAATTAATGAAATTGCATAGAGAACTTAGCTTAAGTGGACTTGATGATGAAAAATAGTAAAATTTTACTATATTTTACTTTTAATTTTGCTAATAGGAATTTTTAATATGCTAAATAATATATATTAGAATTAAATATACTGTAAATAAATTACAATTTGTATAATGCTATAATTAGTATATTTGTATTGCTTATATATATAAGTAGCTGTGTAATACATGGTGTTGTACAGGACCAGAACAATCATGTATCTGGAATATTTTATATTTAAATCAATAAGATAAACATTTGATTCATACCCCTGAGTAGATTGTATGATGAACGGTGTATATCATTATCCGGGCATTATGTGAAGAGGATATGTTAACCTAACATGACAAAACTTTTATACCTTTATGGTAATACAAAATATTTCTAATCATAGGTATCACAATTTTTCCACGAAAACTCACACAGATTATAGCAGAAACCGTTACTGTTATACATATATTAAACTGGTGAAGGATTATATCCATCACAATTGAATCCAACATAAATATTTTAATCTGTGATTGATTGCAGGTGAGAGGGATTCACTTTGGATCGGGCACTGTCTCTACTGTACACACAAACACGATCATGTGGGCACCTCTATGTTAAGAAAATCCCGGCCGAGGATCAATTACAACTCTAAAATTCTTGGTTCGTATTTAATATCCAGAAATACAACAAACCAAAAAAAAATTAGCTTGCAACATAGTTGCGCTAAAATCAAGAACGCGATGTAATTAATTTAATAAATAATATGCCTTGTGCAAAATAATAATTTCATCAATTATATAATTACTGCCAAGGAAAAACTTCGAACCGGAAATTTAAATTTATTGTTATTATACAAGAAACGAGATGATATATAATATCACAAAATATATAGTTCATATGCATTTTTAGCCGCAAAATCTCAATTAATTGGACTATATATTAAATGCAAAAAATGCAATAAAACGTGAAATTCTGCATTTAGACTTCACGAGATTGCATCACATAGCACTATATTCATATGTAATATGATATATGTTTAACCATACGAACGTACTAGCTTGTACCTTTATCGCTTTTTTCGTCTCGATTAATGTGCATTACAATCATTTAAAAATATAGTTGATTTTTCTTTTTTATTGTATTCGGAATTGCACTAACCAAATATGGATTTTATTATTTTATGGAAGCAAACTCTTGGTCGATATGATTCAGAATCAGGACAGATTATTTTAATTTTTTTTTAATTTTTTTTGATACACTCTAATAGTGTGACAATTAAATCGAAAAAAGATGGCTCCCTATTCCTTATTTTCTCGTTAATATATTAACGAAACACTTATAATTGGTTATTCATGTCTCATTTTTACGGTAGTCGCAAAAAGATCTATTCACATCATGCATTCTATAAATCGAGAATTGCCGATCCAATTTCGTTCAGCAAACTGTAGTATCCAATTTAAGATGGCACAAAACGGATTAGTCGTTCATGAAATATAGCCATTAAAAGATTAAAATTAGAGTTGAAATATGAATTGCTTTGTCAAAATATTACTGATACTGTATTTAATGAACGGCTGATCCGTTTACAATGATTTTTGTTTTAAATGAATGCTAAGAACGTTAGCATTCGTTTTAAAAATTCT